TCTTCAGTCTCTCATTGTCAGCACTCATTAATCCTCCTTTTGAACCTGTAGTTTCCTGCTCCCTTCATCTGTCTTTTGAAGGTGGCCTTTCTGACCACAGTCACCTCCGTCAGAAGAATAGGTGACTTTGGATTCCTTACGGCAGACTCTCCCTACACGGTCTTCCAGAAGTATAAGATTTCTTTGATATTACACCCCAAGTTCATTCCAAAAGTTTCCTCCAAATTCCACTTTAAATTAGGTAATATGTCTACCTGTTTTCTACCCAAAACCTCACACTACCAGAAAAGACAGGAAGCTCCATTCTTTGGATGTCTGTTGAGCCTTGGCTTCCTATCTGCAAGACAAAACCCTTCAGGAAATCTCTGACACTGTTTCCTTTACTGAATGGATGAAAGGGGAAGTAATTTCCTCAGACACTTTACAAATGGATTTCAGGTTGCATCCTGCTTTGCTATGAGCTAATGGTGACACCTCCCCCACAAAGTGAGAGAGCCCACTTGACCAGAACCCAGGCTCTCTTAATAGCTTTTCTTCAGGATGTCTCCTTTCTGTAGAGCAGCAACATGTGGTTGTGTGTGTATCTTTTTGCTAGACATTATGCCCTGGTACAAGCTTTTTCAGCAGATGCGTCCTGCAATCTGTAGTACATCGGGGTCCTCTCACCCTCCTCCTCAATGAGTAGTGCTTTTGAGTCCCCTCATGCAACATATTCATAGGGACCATCACTCGAAGAAGAAATTCATGTGACTTACCTTACAGTAACTGGAGTTATTTAAGATGTGTGTGGTCCCTATATGTATTCCACTACCTGTCCTCCTTCCCCTCTACTTCGGATCCTTTCCTAAAGTGATTTGTGGCGGTGTAGGAGCTGGAGAGGCGGCCTGTCCACACTGACCACTTATGCCCTGTGTTCAGAGTGTGCAGACACAGATCAATGGACACTACTAATGAAAAATCTTCTGGTCTCAGGCACATCAAATGCATGTGCACCTCAAGTGAATTACACATAGGGACCACATATCTCAAAGAACTCAAGTTATTGTAAGGTAAAGTATCAGAGGGGTAGCCGTGTTCGTCTGGATCTGTAAAAGGGTGAGAGAGATAGCTCAGTGGTTTGAGCATTGGCTTGCTAAACCCAGGGTTATGAGTTCAATCCTTGAGGGGGCCACCTAGGGATTTGGGGCAAAAATCAGTACTTGGTCCTGCTAGTGAAGGCATGGGGCTGGACTCGATGACCTTTCAAGGTCCCTTCCAGTTCTAGGAGATAGGATATCTCCACTAATTTAAAAAGTGACAGACGTATTGGAGCATAAGCTTTCATGGGTGAATACCGAAGTGGGTATTCACCCATGAAAGCTTATGCTCCAATACGTCTGTTAGTCTATAAGGTGCCACAGGACCTTTTGTAAGGTAAAGTAACCAGAATGTGTCTCACACAAAACAATGAACTATTTCACTTCTTGGACAAATTTGACTTCTTATAGTTTCAGAATCTAGTTGGCTCTGTGAGGGCAGAGTTCAAATTGAGTGAGAAATGCCTTGCTAAAATGATTTAATTGATGTAATGAGAGGAGAGTCCCTCCTACCCTTCTGTTATATAATTATTATATATTAACTGAGTATCCAAAAGTGTGCTAGGTGCCATATGGAGTAATTAAAAAAAAAAAATCTCTTCTATAGTCTAAGCAGAAACATGGTGGGATGTGGCAAGGCAAAACGGAAGAGATAGGGAAAATGGGGGCTGGCAAAGGGTACAAGTGACTTGATTTTTAAAGAGTGTTTTTTGCCTGTTACTGCCAGTGACTCTATTGGGAGATGCCGGGTGGTCAGCATTTTTGAAAATCATGCCACAAGTGTGGTGTGGTCACTCCCTGTTTTCTAACAGCAAAATACCAGCATTGTCAACTAAAAGCTGTCCCTGGGCAACGGTAACAAAGCTTTTTACAGACTGTGTGTTCCAAATGACCATGTTACGGGTTGGAGATTTGGACTCTGATCTTCAGGAGCTGTTGAGAGTTGTGATTCCTTTTGTATCAGTCGACATGTCATTTGTGGGAAAATAACATTTGTTTCTCTATTAGGCTCTTCGTGTTGCTCTTTTTTCAGTACACAACACTTAAAATATCAGCTTTTTGTTCACTTCATTTCTACCTTCTCTCCTTCCTCCCCAAAAGGTAATAATGCTAAAAGAAAAGCACCTTGACAATCTTATTGAATGTAAAATAAGTGAAGTAAAAATAAACTAGTAATACTGCAAGAATTAACTTACTAACAAGGCATTAACAAGGGGAAGTTGTATACCTCAGTCTGCAAAGAACCCTTTTTCAAAAATTTATTTGTGGAGAGCCAAATGACACATATACCGATATATCTGTTCTTTGTGCTATAGTATTATATCCTCTTATTTTTTTCTGGAAAACTTTCAGGTTATATAATTTTTTTTCCTACTTTTTTCAGAGTAATTCTACAGTCCAGTGTTCAGAAAAGTAAAATGTCTGAACCTAGCATTTCTGGCAGTGCAGACATTAATAAAAGAACTACCAGGTCTGCTGCAAGAAAAAGCAGTTTAAAAAGGTGAGAGTTACTCTTTTGAGCTGGCATGTCCATTGCTGGTGATGGACTTTGTCTGAGGAAATATTAGCCTCCTAGTGACAAGGAATTACATTTTAAAATATTTTATTTATCATGTAATGAGACTGTCTGGAGCTTTGAATCTCTTGTGTCATACATTTCTGAGTGAATTTTGAAAACTGGGAGATTTGTATTGTGGTTATTATGTATGATTTAAGGATTACTGAATTTAGGAGTTTGCTGACTTAATAGTTCCCATCACAATTTCTACAGGTATTATGAAGAAACCTCTCCAGAAACAAATTTAAAAAAAAAATAGGTGAGAAATTGTATATGACAATGTGGTGGAGGGAAGGGTGCAGGGGGGAGTTGAGAAACAGTACAAGTGCAACAAATTAGAAATTCAGATGGCAAAGAACTAACTTCTGTCAAATGTTCATAAATATCTCCTCTGTAACACCCTTCTCTACTCCTGTAAGATCAAATTTATTGTCATCCTTTTTTCTATTGGTCTAACCATCCAATAAGAAAATAAACATTAAAAGTTCCACTCTTTCCAGAAAGTCAAAGAACATGAATGATTGAAGCCAACCATTCAGCATAGAAAAGATCTATTTCCTTGTCTTGTGTGGAAAAGAGGGTATCTTCAATATTGAGGGAAAACACTAGACAATGTTTCACAGTTCTCTTTGGGGGGAGGGACTCCTCCTTTGTCTTGGCAAGGATTAATATGGAAAGAGAAAGCAATATAAAAACTAAGAGGAATTAGACTGACCACTAATGAGATATGAGAAAATAAATCATAGAAGCACACTGGCTTTGTATCAGAGGTGTAGAAAATGCATAGTGTGTGTGTGTAATAGATACACCTCTACTCCGATATAACGCTGTCCTCAGGAGCCAAAAAATCTTCCCGCGTTATAGGTGAAACCGCTTTATATCGAACTTGCTTTGATCCACCAGAGTGCGCAGCCCCACCCCGGCCCTGGAGTGCTGCTTTACTGCGTTATAACCGAATTTGCGTTATATCGGGTCGCGTTATATCAGGGTAGAGGTGTATAGTGTACTGGTAATGAGATTTTTATAAAGGGAAAAGGATTCAGAATTTAAAGTAGGTAGTCTGCTCTACAAGCACCTGGAGAATTAAAAAATGTGGATGGTTTAGAACAAGAGTGTGAGTGCCTTGTGTGTAATCACATGGGTACAAAGTATATTTACTGACAGCTACCACACGAGTTCTTGTATCCATCCATGTGCAAAGCCAGTATGCAGACCTAGACCCTCTCAAGTTGTGCTGGAAATGAGCATGAGGTTCTAGCTCAGATCTGTAGGTTACACAACCATTAATTAGGGGAATTTAAAGCCATCAGTATATTTTTTTTCTAGTGCTGTCCTCTTTCACATTCATAGATATCAGTACACTGTGGAAGAGAGATACCAAATGTATATTTCTCTTTTTTGGGAGTGAAACTGACAAGAGGGCTTGCAACTTTCAGTTTGAAAACAAAAGATCTAAGCAAATTAAATCCAGATCACGTATAATCTGTGGCTTATGTGTCATACAGCATTTTCAAATAGTTTTTGATTCTTGAAAGTGACAATTTTTTGTCTTGTGCTTGTTGTGAATATCTTTTAATTAGTCTATCAATATATGCTGAAGAGAAGAGTCTTATTTTGTTGGGAGGGAGTGAATCATTATACTTACAACTAGGACTTATGAATTGGTGTTTATATGCCATAAATACAAACTTAGTATGTGGTAGAGTTTCATAGAATTTCCTTTTCTCTTCTCTCCCTTCTGCCCTCATCCTTAAAGGGAAATGCAAACTATTTTAAAAAAACAAACAAAATCAATCCTCTAATGGTTGGTAAAAGATGGAAACGCCGTATCAAATAACCTGCAGGACACTTCTAATGTAACATTGAGAGAATTTTCAGGGTATTATATAGCATTTGATTCATATTAACAAATAGTTAAAAGCTAAAAACAACTTTTTTTTAACCTTACCTTAAATACCAGTTTTATGAAACACTATATTTAGTTTTTGCATAATTGTTTGGTTTGATTAGGTCTCCTTGACTGCAATGTTTTTATCAGTACTGATTTCTGTCCATGTTGACCTCTCTGATTCTGGTTATTTCTTATATTCTTCATCCCTCTTCTGTTTTTGAGCCTCTTAGCTCTGTAGCTATTTGTCCATTCAGTGACATACCGTTTCAGTTCCTGGAAAGCATCCTTATGAGTAGATCCTCCCTCCTAGAGAACAGCAGGCATTCCCCAGTTCCTTTCTTCTCATTTGTCACAATGAAAAAGACCTTCTGATAAATTATTATATGAAGAAGTGCTGCCACTTTGGAGATATCTTTTACAAACCTGGCATGGTGCCTCCTGGCTCTGAGGAAAGACTTGTGCTCTTACAGAAGAGGGATTCCTCAGTTCATAAAAGAGCACTAACTTTGTAGAGTCTTTGTAATTTGGCTTTCTGACACTGCTTCTGAAACTTCTGCCCCAGATTTTTCACTTTAAACTGTATCTGATCATGTTTCTAATACTTAACTTTGAGACCATACTGCTTCAATCAGTTGATGACCAGATCCTGCCATTCAAGATATCTCAAAGCAAAATAGTACCATCCAATAGGGTCACAATTCTGGAGTTCTTAGACATTTTTCCTTCAAAAAAAGGCTGCTTGGTTGTAGTTCATATACGCATCATGTGATTAAATTTATACCCTCTCATGGGCATTATAAAGAATGTCCTCCCTACAATATGGATGTGTTTTTATTTACCTGTAGCCTCTGGAAAAATCTTATATGGAGCCAGTATATCACCGAATGAGATGGCTTTTGCAGCTCTCCATTTGGTAAAGGATATGCAGTCAATGGGTGACATCGTGCTTCCATTAGTGTATTCAAAACAAAACAAAAACTGGCTTTCCATCCTTTTTGCCTGAAGTTTATTCAACTTTGTCTTAAAAAAAAAATATTGGGTCCCCCAAACTGACTGCATTATTCCAATTCAAGCCTAATAAATGCAGGGTAGAGGAGAACAGTTCTGGCTTCTATTAATACTGTAGTATTGCTGTTAATCTAACCCAGCATGTCTTTTGTGACACAATATTATTTTATCTATGTAAACTTTATCATCCAGTATAAACCCTTTGATTCTTTAGACATCACTGCCTAGCCAGTTCTATTTTATTTGGTGTCTGTGTATTTTAATAGTCTTTCCTATATGACCACTGTTTCCATTTTTTTTCATTGAATCTCATTTTATTTATAGGTATTGCATTGTTTTCTTCAGATTTCAGTTTTGTTGTAGCTGAATCACAGTCTATGATCAAAAATTCATTCTTAGCATTATATCCTCAGATTTGAGTCCTTCCTCATCCTTCAAACTGTGAAGAAATTGTCAAGTAGTGGGTCCAGAATGACTCATCTCTCAGTAAAACTACAATATTTACTTCAAGTTTTCTGATGAGATTTATGAAGCCATCTCATGATTGTTTAATCAAGCCAATATGTACAATATTCGTGCCTTTTCCTTCAGGTGACACTATATATCTACCATAGTTAATGCCTGGTTGTCCAGAATGAGAGGGGGTATTAGTACATTAACATGGCAGTGTGGATGGGAGAATGTAATGGAATTGCAAGGGATTCATGTTGCAGCCTAGGGTCATGATCTGCTCTGTGACCTTAGTTAACTGACTTGGTCAATTGGCACCTCACTTTCCCATCGCTAGGACATGGCTGCTGTAGATTGGTCCATAAGTGATAGGTCAGAGTTCACATTTTACAATGTGCATTTATCAGATCATTTTATGGTGGAAATTTTATTATCTTCTCTCTTCCTTCCAAAATACAGACACTCCTTAAATTCTTATTGTTAATCTATTTAATTGGACCATTTACAGTAGAGGCAACATTTAATAATTATTCTATCTTGAAACAAAAAACTAGAATAATCCTAATACTGAGCACTTAAACTGCTTTTCATCCATTGAACTCAAAGTGCTTTACAGAGGTGGACACAGCATGTGTTAGTATCCCCACTTTACAGACTGGGAAACGGAGGCATGCAGCAAGGCAGTGACTGAGCCAGGAAAAGGACCCCCCTCTCCCAATCCCCCCTACCTTGTAACCTATCCAGTAGGGGCTTGAGAAATTCCAACACCAGCTGCATGAAGTAAAGAAACTAACAGAACCCTCTTCCCTTCAAAATGGATAGAAATTAAGCTATTGTCCCACTCATTACACTGTTAGCGTTCCATGTATTTAACAAGATCTTGAGCTCCTTTGTTGTTAGCAATTTAGAAGAGAGGAAATAGTGTATGTAGTGAGGATTTTGGGGGTTCAATGGAATTGGACTATAGGAATCATTATGCCAAGGAATAATTGTGACCTGTTGGCAGGAAAGGGGAAATATATGCAACAATTAATATATAGGTCTCTTAGCTTTTTTTCTCACCAGAGAAGCATGTCATGAAAACGAACAGAGTACACTTAACCCAATATGCTTTCACTATTGAAGGGAGCCATTAAGCAGCATTCTGCTCCCGTGTTGAGATGGAAATGGCATGCAGCACACCAGAGCTTTGTCTGTTTGTGATCTAATTCTAGTTTTAAAAAAATTAATATTTCTTTTCCATTCTTTTCTACTTTTCCCACAGTCTGATACCTCAGAAGGAGAAAAGGAAAAGGAATGCTTTACAGCAAATGCGCTTAATGAAATTATGGTACTTTGAATCATCTGCTTTTTCTTTACAAAGGCTTTTTTCCTACTCTTTGTAATCAGAATAGTAGTCTGTGCTTTCTTTACAATTGATAATTTATTCTCTATAAAGTATCAAGTCTTTTTTTTCTTTACAATTTTTTGTTTGTAGTATTATGCTTAACTTAGCTTACACTGGCAGAAATGTTAGAAAGATTTTGCGCTTGCTTTGTTTTTTGAATTTCAAATTGGATGGTTTTTATTCCTCATAAATCTGTGTTTTATCATTTCAGTGGTCACTCCATACCAAGGACCAGGACAGTGCTGCGTTAAGTAAAAAGAAGTGACTGAAGAGGATGCTGAGGGGGGGGAAATGGAATATTGCTATGGAACTTAAAAAGTCTTTCTTTTCAAAGAAATTAACTGCAAAATGCAGCTAAGATTTTAGCAGTAAAACTCCTCCTAATTTGTAGAAGAAAACAACCTGTTAAGATGCTTGACAAACAGTTCAGCTTTCTAATTCTAAATGTTTCTCAACTGTTTAAAAAAAACCTTGTAAATTTAGACTCAGGTGTAAATATCTAAACTCTCTATTATAAAGAGGGTTTACTAATGGGTATGATGCATGTGTGTAATTGTGATGGCAATCACTTAGCTGCTGGCCACCATAAGAATTGAAGATGTGGTGGGAGCTTTTAAATATTTAATTCACTGTTGTCCGTCCAAGCTGATCTCAGTCTCCAATACAGAGCAAATCTTGGGAAGGCAAGATTTTATTCTCATAACATTGTACTTTCCTGTTGATTTGGATAGCCTTCCTTATTTTGTATGGTTTTTTTTTATGAAGCTGTAATGTTAAATACCCAAACAAATTACTGGATACCAAAGACTGCTTTATTTCAAAGGGTTTTTTTAAACGATTTAACTAAAAGCTGTTAACTGTTTTATTAGTAATAGCTTTTAGTTGCTCAAATTGCTTGAAAACATGGATTTTCCTACCAGAGTTTATAATTTGAAGCAGCACCATCAACTTAGATTACACGGCTAGTTGAAAACTTTTTACCTACTTGTGCTACAGGTAATACCTAAGGTTCTCAATCTTTCAGACATGGTAATGGTTCCTAAAGTTTATGCATCAGACCATACTTTATGGTCATTGTCATAGTTTTCCTTGTTTAATCATTTTCTTCCACACTGAGGCGTGGGGGAAATAGGGGCACTTAAAAAAAAAAAAAAAAAAAAAAGGAAGTGTG